CTGGAGTTTTGCAGAGCCATTCTGGGTGTCGTGTGGCAATCTGGGTGTTACAGGCACATCTCTTGGTGCTGCAGGACTTGGTTGTGTATTTTCCAGCATCTGCATGTGTTCTTAAGAAACTGTTAGTGTTGTGGAGACAAGCAAACATTTTGGGGGTCTTTGTATGTATTGTGTGGATAGTCTTGTCTAGCTGTTATGGGGCAAATCAGACTATTGCAGGTCAAGTCTGGCTATTGCAATGTAAGTCTGGTGACATGGGGCAATTAGGGTTAGGTGGGGGTAGATCTGGATGTGATGTGTTAGTCCGAGCGTCTCAGGGTGAGTCCCTGGGTCGGAGTGTTGCAGTGAGATTGTGTGTTATGAAGTGACTTTGCATGTTGTAGGGCATGTGTATGCATCGTGGGGTTTTATGCATGTTTTGCTCAGCATTTCTATGTGCTCTCAGCTAAGTGTTGGTGTTATGAAATAAAAAACCTATTTTTCAGGACCAGTCTTTGTTGTCTCAAAATTATATGTATTATGGGACATGTCCATGTATTTTGGGGAAGGCTGGGTGTCATGGGGTAAATTCAGTTGTTCCCAAAATATACAGACATGTCCGATAATACCTATAATGTTGTGATTCTGTGTGGCTTGGATAAGTTGGCATGTGTTACAGCAAGTCTTAGTATTGTGAATCATATCTGTAATTGTAGGAAGTGTCTGTATTGTCCAGCAATTCTATGCACAGGGAGGTCAGTGTTGGTGTTGTGGAGCAAGAAACTGTTGTGTGGGATTAGTTGTTATGTTGTAGGAAGGATTTGTATATGTAGAGTTATGTCCATATACTGTGGCTCCTATTTGGGTGTTCTGGAATTAGTCTGGGTTCTGGGGGGCCATTCTAGGTGTGGCATAATGAATCTCTATGTTTCAGATGAGTCTCAGTGTTAAGGGACAAGGCTAGTTGAAGGGGGGTATGTCTATGCCTTGTTGAGTCTATGTGTATTTTCAAGCATTTCTTCTGATATTAAGCTAAGTTTTGAAGAGACAAGGAAGTGTTTTATGGAGACCATTTGTATGTTAAAGGTAGAGTCTGTGTAGTTCCATGTGTGGTAACGCAAGTCCATGCATTGTGGTTCTATCCATGCATTGTGGAGCATGTCCATGGGTTGGCAGACTAATCTGGGATTTGAATCTTTTTTTTTTTTTTGAGATGGAGTCTCGCTCCATCACCCAGGCTGGAGTGCAATGGTGCAGTCTTGGCTCACCGCAACCTCCGCCTCCCAGGTTCAAGCGATTCTCCTGCCTCAGCCTCTTGAGTAGCTGCGATTACAGGTGCCTGCCACCATGCCCGGCTAATTTTTGTATTTTTAGTAGAGTCGGGGTTTCGCCATGTTGGCCAGGCTGGTCTCGAACTCCTAACCTCGTGATCTGCCCACCTCGGCCTCCCAAAGTGCTGGGATCACAGGCATGAGCCACCACACCTGGCCTGGGATGTGAGTCTTTAAGATGTAAAATGGATCTGGGTGTTTCCAGGTGAGTCTAGGTCTTGTCCAGGAAGGCCGTGTGTTGCAGAACATATCTGCATACTGTGTTTCTCTGTATGTGGACCATCCTTTGTGGGATGTGCTGCTGTGAGGGAAGTTGTAGCAGGAAGAGGCTATTTTGTGTGGCCAGTCTGTGTGTTAAAGGGAGAGACTGAGGCCAGGCGCAGTGGCTCATGCCCGTAATCCCAGCACTTTGCAAGGCCGAGACAGGTGGATCACCTGAGGTCACGAGTTCGAGACCAGCCTGGACAAAATGAAACCTAGTCTCTACTAAAAATACAAAAATTAGCTGGGCATGGTGGTGCACACCTGTAGTCCCAGCTGCTAGGGAGGCTGCAGCAGGAGAATCGCTAGAACCTGAAAGGTGGAGGTTGCAGTGATCCAAGATCGCGCCATTACACTCCAGCTTGGGCAACAGAGCAAGACTCCGTCTCAAAAAAAAAAAAAGGAGTGACTGTTTATCGGGTATTGCCATGTGTTTTGGGTCAAGTCTAGGTGATATGGGGTGTGTCGGTGTGTTGTAGAGCAAGTCTGTGTGTGATGGAGTATATATGTGCATGTTGAAATATTTTAATTTGTGTTGTCAAACAAGTTTGTATTTTACGAAGCACATCTTAGTGTTGTATAGGCAAGACAGCATTTTGCTGGACCAGCATTTATGTTATGGGGATAATGTATGTGTTATGGGGCATGTCCTGGTTTCTTGTCTGTTAATTGTAGTCACGTTTATGTGGTGAGATGCTGTTTTGCATATTGGAGAAGTCTATGGCTTGTGGATTGTTTCTAGAGATTTGGAAGTGAGTTCCTTGTGTTGTGGAGCCAACGTGGTGTTCTGGGGTGAGTATGTGTATTGGAGGGCATGTATGTGTGTGATAGCGTGCATTTGCTTAAACTGAGACGACTCTTTGTATGAATGAGTTTTTGTTTCATGGGTATGTTGCGCACTGTAGTGTGTCTAGGTGTTGTGTGACAAGTCTAGGTGTTATGCAGAAACTCTATACGATAGATGCTTCTGGGCATTACATAATAGGTGCAGTCAGGCTGGGTGTGGTGGCTCATGCCTGTAATCTCAGCACTTTGGGAGACAGAGATGGGTGGATCACCTGAGGTCAAGAGTTCGAGACCAGCCTGGCCAACATGGCGAAACCCCATCTCTACTAAAAGTACAAAAATTAGCCGCGTGTGGTGGTGGGTCCGTAATCTCAGCTAGTCGGGAGGCTGAGGCAAGAGAATTGCTTGAACCCAGAAGGTGGAGGTTGCAGTGAGCTGAAATCACACCACTGCACTCCAACCTGGGCGACAAGAGCAGACTCCATCTGGAAAAAATAAAAATAAAAAAAATAGGTGCACTCACTATGGGTGTTATAGGAAAAGAGTGGTGAGAGTATTCCTTGTGATGCGATTCTGTGCTTTCTGAGGGATATTCGATGCATTGTGGGTTGATTCGAGTTGTTTTAGATTGAGTCTTACCTTTATGCTCCAGTTCCGTGTGGAGTAACAATGACAACCTGATCAGCTAACACCAGTAACGCTAACTCTTTACAAAGCATTGCTCTAAACACTTTATAGGCATTAACTCATTTATTCCTCTTTTTTTTTCCCCTTTGAGACGGAGTTTCACTCTTGTTGCCCAGGCTGGAGTGCAATGGCATGATCTCAGCTCACTGAAACCTCTGCCTCCCTGGTTCAAGCGATTCTCCTGCCTCAGCCTCCTGAGTAGCTGGGATTACAGGTATGCGCCACCATGCCCAACTAATTTTGTATTTTTAGTAGAGACGGGGTTTCTCCATGTTACTCAGGCTGGTCTCGAACTCCCGACCTCAGGTAATCCGCCCGTCTCGGCCTCCCAAAGTGCTGGGATTATAGGTGTGAGCCACCACACCCAGCCCATTTATTCCTCTTAACAGCTATAAGAGATACGTACCCCTATTACATAATTATTCCTAACAAATAGCTGAGAAAACTAGGGCACAGAGAGTTCCAGAAACCTTTCCAAGGTCACACAACTAGTAAGTGATGCATGTGGGATTGTAACTCAGGCAGTCTGAGACCTGAGTATAAGCTTTTAACCATTGTAGAGCAAGTTTTGTATCACGTGGGTTGAGACTAGATGAGTTGAGGCTAGTCTTTGTCTTGTGCCAATCTGGGCACTGTGTGGTAGGTTTTAGCATTGTGGGCATGGGTTTGCTTTGTGGAGTCTGCGTGTTTTCGTGCAAGTCTGCATGTTATGGGATGAGTTTGTGTGTCTGTTGTGATGTGACACTGTGCATTTAGGCTGGTTTTCTGTTTAGGGGGATATCTCTGCATGGTAGGACTTATCTAGGTATTACAGAGCAAATCTGTGTAGTGTGGGGCCTGGTCATATGTGTGGTAGTGTTCGGCAAGTCAGATTTACGGGCAACTTAGGCGATGTGGGGCATGTAGTTCTTTATGAGACAAGCATGAGATAAGTGTAAAATGTGTTGTGGCCGGGCATGGTGGCTCCCGCCTGTAATCCCATCACTTTGGGAGGTTGAGGTGGGCAGATCACCTGAGGTCAGGAGATCAAGACTATTCGGGCCAACATGGTGAAACCCCATCTCTACTAAAAATATAAAAAATTAGCCAGGCGTGGACATGCCTGTAGTCCCAGCTACTCGGGAGGCTGAGGCAGGAGAACTGATTGAACCTGGGAGGCAGAGGCTGCAGTGAGCCGAGATTGCGCCACTGCACTCCAGCCTGGGCGACAGAGTGAGTCGCTGTCTCAAAAACAAAAACATAAACAAAAACAAAACAACAACAACAAAAAAGTGTTGTGGAATGGGGGCTCTGTATTATCATGTGATGCTGCCAATTTTAGGAGCATGTATTTTGGAACATGTTTGTGAAGAGCAGGGGTATCCACATGTGAAACAAAAATATGTGTGTGATAAGGTGTGTTTGTGTGATGTAGGGCATATCTATGAGGTTAGGGTGTGTGTGTGTGTGTGTGTGTGTGTGTGTGTGTTGTGGGCCTGTGCCTTGTGGGGCAAGGCTGGGTACAACACACAGCCTGGCTTCCAGTCTGGGTATTGTGGGATGTGTTATACGGCAAGCCTGTGCACAAAGTTCTTACTTGTGATGCAATTCTGTGTGTTGTGAGTGATGTCTGGTTAGGGTTCCGGTCTGTAGGGTAAGTGGGTACTATGGCGGGGTGTCTGTGTGCTGTCGAGTGTTTCTAGATGTTCTAGAGCTAATCTATATACTATATGGTGAGCCTTCGTGTTGTCAGATGATTCTAGACGTCTGGGGTAGGCCTTTTTTTGTTTTGGTAGTAATGACAGTGATGGCTGTAATATAAATTAACAATTCTAATTGTCAGTATGTGCCAGGCAGTGTACTAAGCACTTAACAAATCTTAATGTATTTATTATTCACAACAACTCTCTGAAGTAGGCACTACTGTTATCTTTGTTTTACAGTTACATAAACTAAAGAACAAAGAAATATACTTACCCGAGGTGATACAATCAGCAAGGGATGGGACCTCGATTCAAACCCAGTTAGTATGGATCTAGAGGCCTTGCTGGTAACTATTACACAAGCTGTATTTCTGTTGTTGTAGGCCAGAGTTGTAGCTCAACAGCATGGAAAAGCACATCTTTCCACCATGATGGAAATCTTTACATTGGAGGGGCAATATGTGTGTTGTATGTCTACCGACTGGGAAATGTTTATGTGCACCGTCGGTTTTGCACTGTGGAGTTAAGTCTGTGTTATGATGCAATTCTGTGCATTGTGGAAGCAATCTGTGCGTTTACACGCATCACTGTGAATCATAAGGCACATCTAAGTGTGGCGGATATGATTCAGTATGTTACAGAGTAAGTCTGTGGTATGTTACAGAGTAAGTCTGTGCCCCGAAGGGCTTGTGTGTACACTTAGGGTGAGTCTCAGTGCTCGATGGTGTTTGCGTGAGTTGTGAGGCAAGTATTTATATTGATGGGTGAATCTGCGCATTTTGGTGAATCTCTGTGCATGGCTGGGCATCTCCTGTTTTGTAGGCAGCAGCTTGTGCTACTTTGTAATCCCAAGGTGCTGGGATTACAGGCGTGAGTCACCACGCCCGGCTGGAGCAAGTATTTGTATTGTGTGGTGAGTGTGTCTTTTGTGACAGGAATCTGTGCACTGTAGGACAAGTTTGTGTGCTGTGGCCCAGTCCTGTGCATCAAGGAGTGATAGATGTTGTAAGACGTACTGTCGCATGTCTTTGTGGTGGGGTAAACTTGTCTGAAAGCTATAGGGGGAGTCTCTGTAGTATGGGTTTAGTCTGTGCTTTGTGGGGTGATTCTACGTGCTCTAGGGAGTGTCTGTGTAGTGCTGGGCAGGTCTGTGTCCTGATGTGATGGTCTGTGGCCTGTGGTGCTTGTCTGTACACAATGGGGTGAGTCTGTCTGTTGTGGGAGAGTCTACGTTGCGATGCGGGTCTTCAAGCTGTCTCATGAGTCTGTTCTCCGAAAAGTCTGTTTCTTGGCAAGAGTCCCTGTGCTCTAAGATGAGTCTAGGATCTGTGGTGAGAGTGTGTGATCTCAGGGGTGTCTGTGTGCCCCGGGGAGAGTCTGTTTCCTGTGGGAAGAAGCTGTATACTCTGGAGAAAGTCTATGTGCTCTGGGGTGAGGCTACTGGCCTTGAGAGTATGTGTGCTTGTCGGGGAAGCCATGTTGTATGGGGTAAGTCTGCATGCTGTGTGTTTCCTAGAAAGGGTTCGTGTGATGTGGGAACAGTGCACGATGCTGGGATTGTCCGTGTGTCATAGTAGAGTCCTTATGTGGGGGGGGCAAGTCTGTGTCACGCGGGGTGCGTCAGTGTGCCTTAGGTGAGTCTCTGCATGAAGGAGTACATATGTGCCTCTGGGAGAGTCTAATGATACGGGGAGTGGGGTGTCCGTGTGTTCTGGGGAAAATCTTTCTGCTGTGGTGTTTGTCGGTGTGCCTTTGGATATGTCTGTGTACTGGAAGGCAAGTGTGTGTACTGTGGAAAGTGTCTGTGTGCTGTGGGAGTAAATGTGTGTTTGTGTTATCCGGCCAGTGTGCGCACTAAAGGATGAGTTTGTACACTGCGGATACAAGTCTGCTTCCAGGCAAGTCTCCCTTAGTATCTACAAATAATAATAGACAACACTTACATAATGGTTACTATGTGCCAGGCGCTGTTCTAAACATGCTGTTAGCATCCCCGTTTTACATCTGAGGAACCCGAGAGATTTAAGTTACCTTCCCACAGTCATGCAGCGAGCAAGCAGCCGAGGCTTGAAACCAGGCAGTCTGTTTCCTGTTCTCATACTATTATGATTCCCCTCGGGGCCCTGAGGGCATCGGTGGCCTCAAACCTTAAAAAGTCACTGGTGAGCATATAGAGAGCAGTTAATTTGGGAGGAAAGAAAAGGAGCGGCTAAAAGCCTTCCAAGCTTTATAAAAAAAAAAAAAAATGCTCCATATACAATAACGATGGCAGCTTAACTCAGAAAAACTGACGTCATGTCTGCCAAATAACTCCAGCCACTGCGGCCCTCAGAACCCCTCCCCTGGCCTCACAGCCGCATTCTGCTACTGCAGTGGAGCAAATGCGCATGCCCTGGCGAGCTGCCATTGCCAGGGAAACCAACCTCCTCATAAACAAAACACAGTCTAATGCGGCAAGTCAGGAAACTACTGGGACTGAGGCTGTCAGCCAAAGGAGCCCCTTGCAATAACCGCGGGCAAGGCAGCCTCCCACTCACGCGCCCCCGCCCCGCCCCGCCCTTTTTTTTTCTTCCAGAATTAGTAAAGCTAGAGGCCCGGAGCAGAAGTCAACAGAGAAAGAAAGCTTCGTTGGGGGCCCAGGAGAAGGTTGGTAATAGGCAGCAAGTGATTTTAATTGTCAGATCTCTCTGGGCAATATTTAACCCATCTCCTACTAAAAAACTCCTTGCTTTATGTCTTGAGCCTTACACCTGCAGTGAAAAGACATGGCCCACTGGGGTGTGTCCCTGTCTAGGAGAGGTAATGGCAGTGGTGGCATGGATTAGGACTCACCCTAGCTCCTTTAAAACCCTACGTGAAACTGCGACCAGCAACAGGCTGGCAAACATTATTTACTTCTACTCCTCATACATTTCTTGTATTTCCCTCTTATATCATTCTAGAAAATTCCAGGAACTGAGTGGAGGCAAGTTTAACTCACTGAGTATCTGAAGAGTAAAAAAAAGAGGTTGAAGGAGGAACTTTAACCCCGGGGGCATTTTTTTTTTTAACACACGATTGGGATATCAGGTGTGCCCAAGAGGAATAGCACACCTGAAACCGTGGTTTCCTGTATTTGGATTCCTTAATTTTAATTTGCAACAAGAATGTGACAAACAGTAACACAGTTAAAATGAAAAAAAATCCTGCTTAAAATACTGCCCTAATCTGCATGTGCCTAGGATTTTTGAAAGGCACATGCACAAACATGGTGCTCTAGTATGCTGTCAGAAGCTGCAGGAAGGTAGGAGCACTATTGAGAAATGTAACCATCTTGGGTAAAGAGAAAATGGCCGACCTGTGGAAAGCTACACCCTATCTAATGGAAAAACAGTTGTTGCGTTGGATTATTCAATAAGTGATGCTGAAACAATCGGTGACCTATTAGGGGGAAAAAAAATTTAATCCTACTGTATACCATATATCAAAATGAATTCTAGGTGGATTAAAGAGTTAATTGTAAAAAAATGAAGCAATTAAATAACTAGAAAAAATACAGGTGAATACACTAATCAAAGGAAAGAAAAAAAATCACAACACTTAAAATGGTCAGATATGGAAATCTAACATGTAAAACTGTGAAATATCAAAAAAATCACCACCATAAATGGTAAAAATTAATAGGAAAACAATGGCTGGAAAATAATGTTTATACCACATATAATAAATGAATTAGATGATAGGTGTTGGGAGGAAGAAACCTCAAACTGATTCATACCATTTGATCCACGAATTCCATGTCTATGAATTTTTCCTAGGGAGAAAAAACCAGAAAAGCACATAGAGATTTATATGGAAAGATATTCCTTCAGTTATTTATAACAGCAAAAATAATGTACATATAAACATTCAATAATCAGACATTTAGTGGGACATCTATATGATAGAAAATTACACATCCACAAAACATCATATTCTTGTGAAATATTTTAAAATATGGGGAATTGCTCCCAATATATATTTAATGGATAAAACAGGCTAAAAATTGTATGTACATGTGATCTTCATTTTTATAAAATATATATTTCTATGCATTTATTTGCATATATTCAGATAAAAGAGACTGACAGTAATAAGATTAACAGTAATTATCTCTAAAGTTATGGGATTATGGGTAATTTTTATAGTCATCTTTAAATTATTCAAAATTTACTACAATGACTATGATATTTTTATAATAAAGGGGAAAACATCATTTTTAATATTTTAGTAAGTATATAAAAGCACCGGAAGCACAGAGAGGAGGGTGTAGAAGCAAAGACAAAATACCAGTATAGGCCAGCGGAGGATCACGCAAAACGAGCTCATTATGTACTACAGAAAGATTATAGCATTATTTGCATGTCAGTATGTATAGAATTTCTTATACAAGATGGAGTCCTGGCAAATTTTCTTCGCTACACCAGAGAATGGTCACATGTCCCTGGATGCGTCAGTCACTCTCTTTGCCGCAGTGCTCTGTTCAACACCCCCTCCCTTTGCCTCCAGTATGTTCTCTCCCTTTCCCTCTGCAAAACATGCTACCAGCAGACATGTTCAACTTGGGAAAATGGACTTTCTTTTAAGCTTTTTCATTCTTATTTTTCCTCCTTGATTGCTGCTGTTTTGTCATCTAACTAAAAATCGAATCTATTTATCTATCATTTTTCTTTTCCTCATGTTCAAGGGTCAATTTGAATTTCAGAGAAATAAACCCCCACTTCACTTGTTTTTTTTTTTTGTTTTTTTTTTTTTTCCATTTTTCTTGCAGAAACAGAGCTACAAAAGCATAGACATTTTCAGGAATGTTTCAGAAACAAACATAAAAGCTTTGTTGATAAGAATCTCTGCTATCTGTCTCACATCTCTTTTCAAAAAAAGAAGCACTGAGAACACTCTGTCTTTACTGTATAAATTGCTGTCCAAAAATACAAATGAATTTTTTCCAATGAAGGCACAATCATAATACTCATTATTACTTTTTCATGATTTTTTCATCCTAAAGCCAAATTTTAATGTTTCTCATTGAATACACGTTCATATCTCACATGAAGCAATCAGTCTGAACATTATTACAAACTGCCCTCTTCCTCATTTTTTTCTAGTACAGACATCCCGTCACACGACTTTCTTAATTTAAAAAATAAGGCATCGTATCCTTTCCTGCATTGCAAAATATTTTTCTTATGGTCTCCCAGCACTGAGAAGATAAACCAGGTTTGAGAACATCTTGAATCATAACCCATTTCATCACGTCAAATACAAATATCATAAAGCTGAGGTACAATTCTGAAAGCAATTTTCCAATTTAGTAACATCTTCATTAAATCTTATTTTAGGAAATATTTTACAAGAATCACAAGGGGGAAGTTTCTATATTTCCTCCTAGCAACTCCGTCATTTAAGAAACAAGCTTTAAACTAGAAAAATGACCAGGTGATATTTAGAATTTAATTAATCCATTTCCCAATGCTGCCGATTAGAATCAGGGATTCCTACACAGTTCTGCATTATTCTCTTCCATCAAAACATGTCACTTGCTTTAAAAATCTTAGTCTGGATATCTATTTTACAAAATATTTCTCAGCGACTTACCAGCGGCACGCTGTCTCCCCACCAGCTCTGAGGCTGTCTGTCGCACTGAAGGAGTGGGGGCAAACAGCAGCGCAACAGCCACTTGGAAATGAGATGTGCTCTGAAAAAGGGATTATCCCTATGGAAAGAAATGAAAGGCCTTGAGATTATCCTCAAGAATTCTCCAAAAACATGAAATCATACTAAACATTATATGCTAAAATGTGCATGCTCATCAAAGGGCAGATTTTAATAGCTAAACCTCTAATCCAAAACACACTGAAGTTGCCTTGATTTCCAGAGGAACCCCTACAAGACTATGAGCTTTTGGCTCTCCCGTCTCCTAGCAACAGTCCCATTAACTTTTTTTTTCCCCTGCAGTGGTCCTACTAGGCATCAGAGAACATTGACAAGGTCTAGTCTCTGAGGATGAACATTACCATTTTGTTGTTCAGTATGCGTTTTCCCCCAGGCAAGTAATAAGGAAAGTTAGAAATTCAAATAACAAAGTCCCTAGAAGAAGATTTCTGATTCAAATGACATTCCACAGTGAAAAGCAGAAATTTTTCTGGTCCCCTCACTTGGTACAATGCTGTCAGTAGAACCCTGTTCTAATATGAATCTGCTCAATGCTACCAAACTGTACAGTTAAAATCAAGTGGAAATTTTTTGTTACATATTTTTTCCTACAATAAAAAAGAGAGAAAGAACGATTCATTCATCCCACAAATATGTGTCGTGCCACAAAGTGAGGTATTCCTGTATCACCACAGTCAAAATATGGTGCTGGGGACAGGGATTATAAAAGTGAATAAAAAAATAGTCCATCCTCCCTTTAAAAGTTCATAATGTAATAATATGCACAGGCTGCAAAAATACAAGTATTTTGTCGAAGTTATTCTTCTTTTTTTCATCAGTTTTGGGTAACATTATCATTAGAGTTGTTACATGATCTGCCCCAAAATACTGGACTCCCAATGGGTGGAAGAAGTAAAGAAATACAGACTTAATTGTAAAATATATAAACATATATTCGTATATCTCAACTGATCATGCACATTTATCTTTACGGTGTAGCTTTCAGAAAAATTTTACTTCTATTTTCACAAATGTATTCACTTCAGAAAAACTTTACAACATTACATCATGACATAAACTGCTTTTAAAACTAATTTAATTTTTGCCAGATAGGAAGTATGTGGCAATTCAGTTCAATATCTTATAATAAAAAAAGATCAGTACCTTTACTATGTATTTACTATAGGCCAGGCACTTTTCTAAGTACCAGGTGATGAACCTGAAAAGGCTGTTATCATCACGTTGCACAGATGAAGAAACTGAAGAGATAAAGTAATGGAACAAGGACACCAACCTTTCTTACCCAGAGCTCAAGCTCCTCATCACAACATCATTGAATCACAAACATCGGAGTTCTTCTAAATCACCTGGAGTGTTCATTTTTTTAAATGAGGACTAAAGGGGACCTGTTCCCAAGTATTCTGTTTTGGCAGGCTAGGGGCAAGCCCAGAAATCTGTATTTTTAACAAACGTCATCATTTGGTTCTGACCAGAAAACTTAAATAGAATCTTTATTATTGGTAATGTTATTGGAGAAGTAAATTCTAAAACTATGACACATACATACACACACACACACACACACACACCACGTGTGTATATTCTGCATGGTTAGAACAAAGGAGTAAATGCATTTTGTGTGTGTGTTTTTTTTTTGGAACCAGAGTTCTCACTATAGGAGAAAGGAGATACAGATATGAATCTGAGAAAGTGAAGAGAATCCTAAAGAAACCTGTGGTGACAGATTTGAATTGGAAGTTTTAGTATGAACTCATGATTTCCTAAGACAAATCTTCCTAGGTCCGTCAACAGAAAGGAGGCAATGGCATCCCAGTAGCAATTAATATGATACGGCAGCTGCAATGAGTACATCTAATGTCCAGCTATTAGTTTCTAAATACTGTTACCTACTAAAAGAAACCAAGTTTTACTGGAAAAATAGCTGACGCTATATAAGGGGCAGGAAAAATACAAGTGAGATTGAAGTATCTTGTATTATGAGCCAAAAAGCACTTGAAGAACGATGAGAACACATCAAAAAGACACAGGAGATGGCTTGAAAGGGCTCTCACTGGCTAAATCTGGTACAATTTGAACATCAAAAGGAATAATAATGGTCGTTGACTATAAAATATAGAATAAAAAAAAATCCATGAGTCCACAGTGATAGTAAAAAACAAAAAGTGGTAATGGAGAGGGTAACTGCTTTGTTCCAGAAGAATAACAGAAAAGAAACTGCTTTTTTCTAAAAGAATATACACGTGTAAAGAATGACAGAATTTGTAACTGACCATTTAGAAGCCATCAGTACAGGCTGGGCACGGTGACTCACACCTGTAATCCCAGTACTTTGCCTGTAATCCCAGAACTTTGGGAGGCCGACACAGGTGGATCTCCTGAGGTCAGGGGTTCGAGACCAGCCTGGCCAATATGGTGAAACTTCGTCTCTACTAAAAATACAAAAATTAGCTGCTCATGGTGACAGGCGCCCGTAATCCCAGCTACTTGGGAGGCTGAGGCAGGAGAATTGCTTGAACTCTAGAGGTAGAGGTTGCAGTGAGCCGAGATCGTGCCACTACACTCCAGCCTGGGTGACAGAGCGAGACTCCATCTCCAAATAAATAAATAAATAAGAAAGAAAGAAAGAAAGAAAAGAAAGAAACCATCAGTATAATAACAGATTTAGGCAAGAATCATCAATGCCAGCCAAAACCATTAGGCAAAATACTGGGGAAGCGAATATTCACAGGACTTTGAAGTATTGCCCATAGGCTACTAATTAAATATAAAAGAGAAAAATGTGCATTTTCAATGGAGTGATTTGGAATACCTCTGCCTTAACTGATTAAACTTCATGTCACCGATAATAGCACAAACTGAAATGTGTCTTTCGATGTGATGAAATGGGAAGCGCACGTCATCTATTTAAGTACTAGCCAAAAATATTTCATCGGAAGAATCAATCATTAAATCCAGATTGCGGAACAATCTAGAAGACAGCTGGCCTGAACCCATCTAATTATTTTTAAAAAGCGGGGGGGGGGGTGGGCAGGGAAACTATCCTAGATTAATGAAGATTAAAAAGATACAACACCAAATGCAATGTAACAATAGGTTAATCATTGGTAAATCTAGGTCAAGTATACACAGGTGTTCACTGTGGGTTTTTTTGAGCTTTTCTGTAGGCTTCAAGTCATTTTAAATGAAAAAAAAAAAATTATTGGCCGGGCACAGTGGCTTATGTCTGTAATCTCAGCACCTGGGAGGCCAAGGCGGGTGGATCACCTGAGGTTAGGAGTTCAAGACCAGTCTGGCCAACATGGTGAAACCCCATCTCTACTAAAAATACAAAAATTAGGGCCGGGTGTGGCGGCTCACACCGGTAATCCCAGCACTTTCAGAGGCTGAAGCGTGTGGATGACCTGAGGTCAGGAGTTCGAGACCAGCCTGACTGATATGGTGACACCTCATCTCTACTAAAAAATACAAAAATTAGCTGAGTGTAGTGGTGTGCCCCTGTAGTCCCAGCTACTCAGGAGGCTTAGACAGGAGAATTGCTTGCACCCGCTTGAACCCAAGAGGCAGAGGCTGCAGTGAGCCGAGATGGAGCCACTGCATTCCAGCCTGGGCGACAGAGCGAGACTCTGTCTCAAAAACAAAAGAACAACAGCAACAAAATTAGCTGGGCATGGTGGCAGGCACGTGCCTGTAATCCCAGCTATTGAGGAGGCTGAGGTGGGAGAATCACTTGAACTTGAGAGGCAGAGTTTGCAGTGAGCTGAGATCGCGCCACTGCACTCCAGCCTGGGTGACAAAGTGAGACCTCATCTCAAAAAAGAAAAAGAAAAAAGAAAGAAAAGAAAAAATTATTAAAAGGTAAATTTAGCAAACGGGAAAATACTTTCAGAAAAAGAATTATTGCACAATAATCATATTTAAAGTTAAAATCCATATACATTTTGGAATTAATGATAATCAGGTTTGTAATTCTGAAATTAGAGAAAGAACTTTCCATACTGACCAGATGGAGGATGAATACAACTGGGCTTCCGTATCCATGAGTTCTTCATCTGTGAATTCAAAGTTGAAAATATTTTTTAAAAATCCATCTGCACTGGACATGTATAGACTTTTTTTCTGTGTCATTATTCCCTAAATAATACAATATAGGCATATCTCATTTTGTTGCACATCACTTTATTGCACTTCATAAATCTTGCATTTTTTACAAATTTAATGTTTGTGGCAACCCTGCATCTAGCAAGGCTATTGGTGCCATTTTTCCAACATGTGCTCACTTGGTGTCTCTATCACATTTTGGTAATTCTTGCTATATTTCAAACTTTTTCATTATCATTATATCTGTTATGATGATCTGTGATTAGTGATCTTCGATGTTACTATTGTAATTATTTTGGGGCGCCATAAACTGTGCCCATATAAAAGGGGAACTTAGGCCAGGTGCAGTGGCTCACCTGTGATCCCAGCACTTTGGGAGGCCAAGGCGGGCGGATCACGAGGTCAGGAGTTCAAGACCAGCCTGGCCAACATGGTGAAACCCTGTCTCTACTAAAATAAAATTTAAAAAAAAATTTAAAAAAATAGCTGGGCATGGTGGTGTGTGCCTGTAATCCCAGCTACTCAGAAGGCTGAGGCAGGAGAATTGGTTGATCCCGGAAGGCAGAGGTTGCAGTAAGCTGAGATCACGCCACTGCACTCCAGCCTGGGCAACAGAGCGAGACTCCATCTCAGAAAATCAAAGAAAGGGGACAACTTAATTGATCAATGTTGTGTGTGTTCTGACTGCTCTACCACCCTGCTGTTTTCCTGTCTCTCTCCCTCTCTTCTAGATTTCCTATTCCCTGAGACAAAACAATAATGAAATTAAGCCAATTAATAATCCAACAATGACCTTTAAATGTTCGAGTGAAAGAGTCCTCCCACATCTCTCACTCTAAATCTAAAGCCAAAAATGAATAAGCTTAGTGAAAAGGGCACATGAAAAGCCGAGAGAGGC